GACCAGGGACCCCTCGTTCCACTGTGCGAGGGGTCGGCGTGAGTGGGGCCAGCTCCGTGGCAGCTACCAAGAAATCTGCAGACACAATACGTGCCCAGCTAAGTGCAGCGGCAGCAGCAAGGGCAAGCTACGCGTGTCTTGCCCAGTCCTTGGCTGGAAGACATCTTTCCAGGGGGAATACAACCTGTGGCAGTGTAACGAATTTTCACCAAAGCCTTGTGTAGCAAAAGAGAGCTTTTTTGTGATATATCAGAAAAATGAAAGTGAAGAATGGGAGATGAGCTGCAAACACTAGGGCTATAAACAGAGCAAAATTCAAAGAAGTACAATCCATAGGTGCTTTGCATTTGGACAAGTACTGATTCCTTGCAAGGATCTTTCAACATGCCCTTTGCAATCATTGACGTATGTACCTGTGAGTAAATTACTCACATGCTGTGATTGGTTAAAGTAAAAACAAAGAACTAAGAGGATGATGGGGGGCCTTTTTTTTTTTTTTTTTTTTTTTTCCCTCTAAACTATGGTCTCTGGGCTCCAGGGTCTTGGCTCTGTCATATGGTGGTTGCCTGGCATCCTTTAGGTTTTTGGGGGCTTATGAATGGTATTAGGTAGATCTTTAACTTGCTTCTTGGTTTACCTTTATTCAGTTTTGATATCCATGTCCACCCTTCCTTGTCTGCTGTCCATTGGACCGGTTAGAGCACTCTGTTCTTTGCTTTGAGCCTTCTGGTTATTGTTTGAAGGGCCTAAAAATCTTGACAGACAACTTGGCCTTTGCTTCTGGCCTGCAGTATTTTGATTAACCCTTCATCAAACCTAGGGGGAAAAAAAATCACCAAATACTTTCTGAATGTCACTATCAAATGTTCTCCTTCACTGTCAGCTTGGATTTCTTTTTAATCATTTTAAGCCAAATATATGTAGGCTGGAGCTTTGGTGGCACAGTGCCTAAGGCATCTGACTGCTAACCAGAAGGCTGGTGGTTCAAATGCACCAGCCACTCTGTGGAAGAAAGATAGTAGGAAGATGGGGCAGTTTACTTCCGTAAAGATTTACTGCCTCAGAAACCCAGTGGGGGTTGCTATAAGTCAGAATCGACTCCACGGCGGTGGGTTTGGTTCTGGAGTAACAACAAGTAATAATAAGTTGGACAAGGGGAGATATAATGAAAACCAAGAGGCCTGTATAATTCAGAAATTGTTTTTCTGGTCACTAAATAATTGAGATGATCAAGATTTCTGTTCATACCTGGTGGAGAGGCATCTCCTGAACTAGGTCCTACTACTGTATCAGAGCTTAAATTCTAAAGCACTTTGGTTGTGGAAGACAGCAGTCTACAGCGAGAGCCCTAACTCCATTCTGAGTCTTGATATAAGTTCAGATGTCATTTGAGTTCCTGCTGATTATTAAACCACCAATGTGGCTGTGCATGGACAGGTCTGGGACAAACCTGGGGGGCGTAGCTTGCCTTCAGGAAGAGTGTGGTTAAAAGTAGATTACGCCCACACAAAGCACTAGGGAACTTGCCGGAGTGTGTCCTTCATGATTTACTGAACATAGCCACGTTATGTAATTTAATTTAAAGGCCGGGGTCCTGGTATTGTCTCGTAGGCATCTTGTGGCTATGACTCAGGGCTTCACGGTCATATGTCATACCCTGACCACCATGCAGCCAGGTAGCCAAGCCCCAGTACCAAGCTCGTAATCCTCAATCGGCAGTCATACACATTTTCCAATCATGGTTCTTTTCCTGCTTCTGTAGTCCTGCCTATGACAGTGATGAACTGACCTGTCACCAATCACAATTTTGGGATAATTTCCTTTGTTCTCTATCACATATAATTAACCCCATGGCCAGGAGCCATCAGACTCCATTCAGCCTCTGTACTGAGTACATGTGATGGTTTCCCTCAGCCCTGATGGTTGTCTTTGTCCTGCTTAAGGTTTAATAAAAGGGTCTGCAAATAACATGTTTGAATCTGGGGTCTTTTTTCCCCTAGCACACTACTTACTTACAAGACCACGTGTTTCAGCCTGATGTTCAGACCCTTGCAGTGCCAGGCACCCAAGACACTTCACAGACACTTGTTGAATGAACCGATGAAATTACTTTAGGTCTTGGATACCTGAGATGAGGTCCAGTCTTTATAGCTTTGGGTTTTATGGTCCCTGTATAGTTAATTAAGGTGGCACCGTGGTTAAGCACTCCTCTGCTAACTGAAAGGTCGATGGTTTGAATCCACCAGCCACTCCAAGAAGAAAGGAAGAAAGATGTGGCAGTCTGCTTCTATAAAGATTAAAACAAGAAGGCTGACCCGCAGGCCTAGGCCTCTGGCTTTTTGAAGGACTCAGGTCATTGGGAGCCTGGGAAAGAGAAGAGGGAGAGAGGACAATGGGCTTGGGTTGCTTATCCCTGTGGCGTTAAGGCTGTAAACCTTTACAAAAGCAGACTGCCTCACCTTTCTCCTGTGGGGCAGCTGTGGGTTCAAGCTGCCAGTCTTTTGGTTAGCAGCCAAGTGCTTGAAACAGTCTTGGAAATCCTATGGGGCAGTTCTACTCAGTTCTATAGGGTTGCTGTGAGTCAGAATTGACTCAATGTCAACAGATACAGTTAATTACCTGGATCCCTGAATAGTTCCAGAGACTCAGAAATCTTCATAATGTACAATTCGTCCTTCTACTTTTTCTGACTGAAAAGAAAATGCCTACCAACAGAGCAGCTCTGTGTCTTGGTTGAAAACAAACAGCTCTTAAGTCCAATCTCCTTCTCAAGGCCAAATTAAGCTGAAAACAACATTTAGTGGAGAAACCATAAAATATGATCATGCTCTCTGGACCTGTTGCATTTTTCTGATAAGAGAGAGGAGATAAATCCCAGACAGTCTCAGCAGTTTCTTGTATTTGAAAAGACCTTGGAAACAACACCTTATCTGTGAGTCCAAAGGCAGGGCAACAAAGTTTGATGTCCCATTTAGATCTTGGGTGTCATGCTTCCTTTCCCCAACGCAGAAGCACCTTGTCCTGCTGCCTACCCCAGGCACAGCCAGGGCCTCCCGGGCTCTAGAAGGGTTCCTTGAGCCGGGTTTGGCCCCATGTACCTTCTCAGGTTTGTCTAGCAGAACAAGGAGCAAGGATTCTTCTCAGAGCCCTTGGGCAGAACGACCCAGCTTCCAGGAAGTTAACCATGGTGTACTCCACGCTGTGGAGGGACCTTAAAGAAACAAAAGGCAAAGTCCTGATGTCAGCTCCAGAGAGGGTATAGCCATAGCAATCCAAGCAAATGACCTTGGTGGAAGGCAGGATTGAGCCAGGGAGGATGGAACCTCTTTGGGTGTCCTGCTCTGGACAATGGGAGCTCTGGTAGCGTAGTGCCTAAGGCACTTGACTGCTAACCAGAAGACTGGCAGTTCAAATGCACCAGCCACTCCTCGGAAGGAAGATGGGGCAATCTACTTCTGTAGTGATACTGCCTGGGAAACCCAAGGAAGGTCGCTGTGAGTCGGGTCCGACTTGACGGCACATAACAACAACAATAACAGCTCTGGACAATGGCAGCCATCGGCTCTGAGTGCTTGCAGCTCTGGCCTCGGTGCCTGTGCTATTCCCCTGGCCTGGCAGCTAGCTTTGACTTTACTTTCTGCTCAGCTAAGACTTTCTCAGCAGGCCACAAGTGCCGAGTGTCTTCCATTCGCCCTCACCCCATCCACCCATTCCCTACCTTGTTCTTTGTCCCAGAAGGCCGACCTGCAGGCTCTCTAGGCCTCTGGCTTCCTAATGGGCTCAGACCATGGGATCCTGGTGGAAGATGAAGGCAGATGGACAGTGGGGTCAGGCTGCTTATTCCTGGGGGGCTGCTGATGGCCAGGGCTCCGGCAGGTGGCCTCCCCATACACTCTTTCTCTCTGGGTTCTGGGAACTGCTCCATTTGTAGACCTTTTAGGCCAAGGCGGTGTACTAGGCCCAGGCTACTCCTTCCCTTTGGTTTGCCCACACTTACATAATTCCTTTGGCAAATTCTCCTCAAATTTCCAAATTGGAATGTGTCATCTTTTCTCCCCTGGGACTTTGGCTGATTCTTTAACGGAAAATGCTGCTGACACACAGTCCAGTTGCCTGTGGCTGTTGGTGTGTGCCTTTGAGAAGCGTGTGGGCCACACGACTGGGCTGTCCCTCAACTGCCCCTGTCCCACAGAATTGCTTCCCTTCTCTACATCTGTTTTCCAGTGTACAGAATGCATGTTGCAGGCCGAACTACATCCAAGCCCAATGTGTTTCATTGTCAGTCGCTGTGCATCCGGTCAGCTCTGGCTCACGGCAGCCCAGGTGCAGGGCAGAGCCAGTCTAGGGTTTTCAAGCCGTGACCATTCTGAAGCACAGCAGAGGCCTCATTCCCAAGCTGCTTGGGCTGGTGGCAGCTGTTTGAACCACAACTTTCAGCTAGCAATGAACTGCTTAAACTTTTACACTACTACCCAGGGACTTCCAATTCCACCAGTAGGTTGTCTCAGAATAGCCACTTGAGTTCTATGTTTTATAACGGGTTTTGGGGGTCGCCTTGGAGAACTTGTGCGCCACACATCTTAAACAAAACAAAACAAAAAGTCACTGCTGTCCAGTGGGATCCGATTCATAGCGACCCCTCCTTGGGTTTCCGAGGCGGTATCATTACAGAAGTAGATTGCCCAACCCTCCTTCCGAGGAGTGTGAATGGTGGGTTTGGACTGCCAGCCTTCTGGTTGGCAGTCAAATGCAGCACTTGAGATGGGGTGTGTAGTGTATTTTTCTAGCTGCGGCTAGGACTCCCGGAAGTGGGTTCAGAGCATAACCCCGCGACGCCCACTTTAGGTTCAAGAGGACAGGTCCAGCCCCAGAGTCTGGGGTAGGGCTGGTGCAGGTGCCCACGTACCGTCCTGCGAGGCAAGGCCGGGAGCTTAGACCTGGGCTGGAGGTCGTGCCTGCGTGCACCCCACCACATGCCCGGCCTAAGTCTCCTGGCCAAGTGCAGCACGGTTCGGGAGAAGCGAGTGCGCCTCGAACCCTTCATCACAGGGCAGTTTGGGCAGGGCGGGGCGGGGGGCGGGGCCCAAGGTGAGGGGCGCCTCGCCCTCCGCCGCCAGCCAATAGGAGGCGAGGGCTTCCCGGGGGCGGGGCGGAAGCTGCTTCTTAAGGCCTGGTGACGCGCGGCGCCATGCTGCCGCTCAGTAGACGTTGGGAGTCGTCCTTCCTCCGTAGACGCTGTCAGGTATTCGCTTGGGTATGTGCTCCTGGGGGCTCTGGCCGGGAGAGGGGCGGCCGGGTTGCGCGGGGAGTGGGCTGGGAGCCTGTTGGGCGTCGGCCGGGCAGGCTTGGCCTCCGCGGCCCGGCTCCTCAGCGGGAGGCTGGGACCGCGGGGCCTGGACCGCCGGGGAGGGGCAATCTCTGGGCAGACGCGGGTAGCCCAGCCCGCTTGCCAGGCCCGGGGAGCGGGCATCCTGCCCCGGGGACTCCGGCGTCCCCGGCCCGGAGGTGGCAGCGGGCGAGGACGGGAGGAGCAGAGGCTGTGGATGTGGCACCTCCGCGACAGGCCGGGTGGAGCCAGGCCGGCTCTGTCCCAGGGGCCGGGCCTCCTCCCTCTCCAGCCCGGCCCTCCATGAGCTCATGGTGCGGGGCTCCGAGTGCCTCGGGGAGCGGACCTGCAGCCCCGGGGACTCCGGCATCCCAGGCCCCCAGCTGTCAGCGGGCGTGGATGGGCAGGGGAGAGGCTGTGGATGTGGCACCTCCGCGTGCCAGGCCGGGCGGTGCCGGCCGCCTCTCTGTCTGGGGGCCGGGCCTCGGTCCTCTCCAGCCCAGTCCTCCGTGAGCCCGCGCCGCTGTGTCCCGGCGCCTCGAGATCTCGGCACCCCGGGCGCAGCGGGCACCGCGCTTTCGGAGGTCGGCGAGGCGGCGGTACCTGGATGCCTACCTGGATGCCGGGAAACAGTTCAGTGATGGCGTTTGCCTTTGCTTCCCGGCGGGGGCGCTGCTGGATCCTAGTGGAAGGGTCCTCGGGCTGCCGCGCGCCAGCTCCACCCCTTAGCCTACCTGTCTTTGTTTTTTCTCTCCTCCAGCCTTGCTCCAGAGAAAGAATTACGGAAGTAGAGTTGCACTTGATAGGAAACGCCGCAGGATGAGGTGGTGCCGCCGTTAGGGCCACCGGGACTTCTGCCTCTACCAGAAGGCCTGCTTGCCTTAGGCACTGCGCCAC